TTATTACACTATTTTCTCTCCTTTTCTGTGTATGTTTGAGACTTTCCACGGCAAAAACAGTTAGCAGTTAAAAATATTAACGTTTTTCAATTTGGTAATGAAGGAAGCCCTGTATGAACATCATTTCTGAGATCATATAACCGGGCTATTTTAAAATAAAATTTCTGAAGAGGTTCTTGAAAATTCAAAAATTATACCAAATTATGTTATGTGCATGTATCAATATGTAACAACAAATAGTACTGTAATGTATAATTATAAAAATGACCTTATTAAAAAGTTCAAAAATTTAGGGGCTGGGAATGTATCTCGATGGTAGAGCAAATGCTTAGCATGTACAAAGTCCTCAATTAGATCCCCAGCACTAAAAAAAAAAAAAAAATTGAATTGTTTTGTGTGGTATAAGTGATCATCAGCAAGTTTTAAGTAATTTGGTTACATGGAACATTATTAGAAATACTTAATTGTTTGAAACAGACATTTTTATTACTGTGTATATATATGTGAATGCATGATCAATGTGATTCTGCAACCTGTATAATCAGAAAAATGAGGTATTATATCCCATCTATTTCAAATGTATGATATGTCAAGGTCATTGTACTATTATGTGTAACTAATTAAAACAAATTTAAAAAGAGAGAGAGAGAGAGAGAGAGAGAGAGAGAGAGAGAGAGAGAGAAATTGTTATAACCAGAACAAAGGTTGGCTCAGGCAAACCATCTACACTGAGGCTCTGACCCTCAGTCAGAGAAAAAAATGCCAGAAGGATATTGACAATTACTAAATATATCTTTGACAGGCTATGTCAATACTTGAGGGAGAAAAGCAATTTGTGTTTGATTTTAAACTAATTCTTTAAGTACTTTGGTTTTCAGGTTTAAAAAATAGTGCCAACCAAAAACTCATGTCTGCTTAAAATATTAACAGTGTAAATAAGCCAACAAATAAATAGATAAAAATTAATGATATAATTTTAAACATCACTGAGGAAACAATAATTTAGGACAAGGATTTCAAGATTGGTTCAACTGCCACAGATTATTAAAACATTCCAGTCCTAAATTCTAATCAAGCATTTCCCCAACTAATAAAAATGTGTAGTCGTGGGAGGAGGGAAGAGGAAACACTTTGTCTCTTAGAGGCTATGTTCTGGAGAACAATGCCTTCCTTTGGAATCTGTGCCATAGCAGACAGGTACACCCCAGGGAGGCTGTTACTTCTTAATTACCCAGGAAGCTCCATTCCCAGGGGTTTCTGCTCTTCCTCTCATCCTTCCTCTCCTCCACTAGTAAATAGCTGGGGAGTTAATCAAAGGTTCAAAGGTTGGTGATAACAGGCGGTGACAAACTGATGCCCTGCAGCTCAGGTGAGCATTGGCACAGTGGCCAAGATGGACTTTATGTCAAATTTGCATCAGAGATGGCTGAAGGATCAGGAGAGTTTATTTTCGTTTCTCGGAAAAAAAGAAAAAGAAAAAGAAATCATGTTCAGACTCAGACACTAGATACTAAAGTAGAATTCTGCACTTCTTGATGACATGGGCAATCAGGGCAAAGGGGAAATTATGGGAAGAAATGAAACACCTTCAGAAATGGAGGAGGAAACACACTAGTAGGCAGAATCCCTGAACAACTGCATGGAGAATGCCATCAAGGAGTTCCATATCCTTACCTTATGGTAAAACAAGCCAGAGAGGGAAGCAATTTGCTCCAAGTCACAGCAAAACAGGAACAGTGTGAGGTTTACGACTGATTTCCAGAGTGAGGCACCTCATGCCAATCTATAAATATGGAACGTGGCATTCAAGGGCCAAGCAAAAGCTTAACCAGCTTAAGGACTGGGTGGAGCCAACACAGCGGGCACTAGCAGCTCAAGAAGGGATGGGGAGGGGCAGGGAAGCAGCTTAAATCATCTTAGATGCGGTGACCTTAACCCTAGTGAGTGAGGCAGCATCCTAGGTGGATGAATTAGAATACAGGTCTTTCTAATCTGTGTTAAATTTTAGCTTTGAGGATTCAACCTAAGCTCAGCAACATCAAGGAATAGATGGGGCCCAGGCTGATCTCTCTAGCTTATTTAGAAAATCCTCTCAACTAGAAGTTGAGAAGAACTCCCATTTGGCCTCGACAGAAACTCTCCTGGAAGCTCAGGGGCAGCCCTTGTCAGCCTCGCTCTCTGGATCTGCCCATTTGTCTCAGAGATGCCCACTGAGGCTTCCCTCAATGCCTGCCATCTATTACCTCAAACCTAAGAGTGACTGCAGCATGGAATGGATGGGACTCTGGCCAACCTGACCAGAAGATCGTGGAAGGGACAAATTGGTCCCCTCACTATAGAATGGGAGGGACACTTTCCTCTCCACCTCTTCCACCCTGCCTTGTCTTTATTCTGAAAAGAACTGAATTCAGTGCCAGCGAGAGGTGTACAGGGGTAGGGAGACAGCACAAATTGTCAGACTACCCTCTATCATTCCATAGGAGACTGACCTCTGCAAGGACAGGCATCTTTGAACAATCATGTATGGTGAGGAAGGGGACAAGCAAAGCAAGAACAAATGAAGCTGGCTAGAAGCCCTCCAAAGCCTTTTAAGGACAGAGCAGAGGGAGAGCCCTAGATCCACACCCAGGAACAGTGTGGATCTAGGGCTGATTTGGGCACAGGCTCACATTTACACCACTTGGCTCCAGGCTACCTGGCCAGGGGTGCAGGGCTGTCCACCGGAGCTCAGACTGGTGTTGGGACCTGGGCAGGGGCAGGAATTTACAGCTTCATTCACTGACTATTTTTCCCTATATAATCCCATTCCCAGGTCCCCAAAACTTCATGGAGCAAAACCCACAATTCTTGATGTCCTCTGCAATGCCACTTGCTGTCTGTTCTAGCCCCTTACTCTTCCCCATTTGCAAGAACTTTCCTTCCTCCCAGGTCGACTTTGGACCAGCTTTCCAGGCTTGAAGACCGGCCCCAGCCCGCCCAGCCTGGCGCACGGGCGGGCGCGGCCGAGTCGTGCTGGGACAGCTCCGCGCTGACTCCCGGGCAGCTGCGAGCCGCTACAAGTGTAGATCCGGCAGAGAGGAAACGGCAAGACACTGAAGGGGCCAGCAGGGAAGCCACAGACTTTGAGTGGAGGGCATTCGGAACTGATCGATATGGAGGGTAATGAATAAATAAATATATGAATGAATGAATGAATGAATGAATGAATGAATGAATGAATGAACGAACGAACGAACTGCAGCGATGGTGGCGGGTAGCGGTGGATTCAGACTGTGCCCTCCATTGCTCTAATGCCACCGGGACCGAACTTCAGCCCCCAGGTTCGGCACCCTCAGAAACATCCCGTCCCCACACGAACACCTAACAGCTCCGTAGGCGCCCAGCCCGCGAGGTGCCGCTCTAGACCCGAAGCCGCTTTCCCGCAGTCAGAAAGTGCCTGCCCTGGGGGCAGAATGCCCTGAGGTGGTGTGGGGCCCCGGAGCTGCTCTGCTCCACGAGACATTGAGCCCCCCGAAGTGGCTTCTGGAGTAGCAGACCCAGTCCCAGGGCCGCAGCTTCCTTACCTGTCCGCCTCTGAGGCCTCGCTCCGGTTCAGAGCGGTCATCCCGGCGCCTACTCCAGACCCGGCACCGCGCTCGGGACCCAGAGCCCGAGACTCCGCCCGCCCCGGGCAGAGCCCGCCTTCACCCGCCAATTGGCTGCTCTGTGGGCCGGGCCAGCCCATTGGCCAAGACTTCCCCTCTCCTGACCGCCCAGGTGAGGCCCCTATCTCTACACAGACCCGCATTCTGGATTCCCAGAACGTGAGGTCCTGGAAGCTAGAGCCCAGGTCTACATACCTACGGGTCCTCACATGTAGCCCCTTTTTAATTTTGTCCTCCTAGTCTTGGAGCGCGATGTCCTCTACAGGAACGCAATCCTGCACTCCTACAACCCATCCCAATGTTGAGATCCAGGGTGTTCCAATTTGGGACAACAGGGAGAATTTTTAACATGACAGTCAAAAATCCAGGTCACCAAGAATGCAAGGCCCAGCATTTCTTTTTTATTAGTGGATGGACCTTTATTTATATGCGGTGCTGAGAATCGTACCCAGTGCCTCACACATGCTAGGAAAGTGCTCTACCACTGATCCACAACCCCAGCATTATTTTTACAAGGAATCTGCATTGAGTTGGGAAGCAGTTATTAAGAGGTCAGTGATTGGTGTAACTAACAATGAACTGGGCTGAGCTGTGCAATTACAAATGGACCCAGAAGTTTTAGTTTTTAATATTGCTCGCCTGCAGGCCCCTTTCCCCACCAGGTTATTTGGTCTTGAGAGTTTCAGGAGAGGGACACACTCAATCCCATTCTTACTCTACCCACCCGCCCACCTTGATCCTGCTGTTATCATGAAGAGAGCCATCAACACACAGAGACCCAAAGGGGGAAACTGTACACAAACTTTCTGCACCTCAGGGCAGAATCTGAGAGCAGGGACTCAACCTCAGTTCCTTCTACTGGGGCTGGGGTTATGGCTCATGGTAGAGTGCTTGCCTAGCGTGTGTGAGGTACTGGGTTCGATTCTCAGCACCACATATAAATTCATAAAATTCCACCAATAACTAATAATAATTTAAAGAAAATAGCTTTCTACTACAGGCAGACCAAAGTGGAAAACCAACTAACTAGTACAAGGGCTACTTCACTCTAGGATTACACACCAGTGTAATCTCAGGAGAAACTTCGTGCCTGCCTTCTCCCATCTTTGGCCCAAATAAGGCATTACCCAGGGGTGGGAAGTTTTAGACAAAACCAGCCCAGTCCCCAGTATGCTGGGAGTAATCTGCAACTCAAGGTAGTAAGCTACTGCCTTCCTAGTTGCCTCTGCATCCTGCAGATGGGCAAGTCATCTAAAACTCCCACCACAGGGCACACAGCTATTGCCATTTCCACCTGCTCAGGGGGCAGGGTTCAGCCACCCCCCCAGCCCCCACCAAGCAGAATAAAGAAACAGGTGCTTCAGCTGTTGTTTATTGACATACAGGTAGGCTCTATAGCAACAGGCCTGGAGGTGGCTGCAGTGTGGGGAAAATGGAAGGCAGGGGGTGGAGCGTTTTTCTGCAGCACGAACATCAGCCCAGTGGAGTGCAGGAGAACAACACAGTGCACAACAAGGTGGAGTGGGGGAGGCTGAGGCAGTTGGGGAAGCAAATAAGTGTCAGGGTCCGTTTGCATACACTGGAATCACTGCCCTACACCTTAAGCTCCTACCCCAGCTGGCTGTCTCCTGACCCCAGGCCAGGGCTAGGAGTTCTCTGGGCATCCACTCTCTATAGGAACTAACTAGAGGAGAAGGAGTTGTCACCTTTTCTCCATAGCTCTGGAAGCCTCCAGTCTTACGTTCCTCTTTTGCCCCCTTTTGGGTGGGACCACATGATGCAGCCAGGCTCTGGCTATCCCACTCGAGCAGGGTCTAAAAACAGACTTAATCTTCCCTGGTGTCCCAGCCCACCAGTGCCACACTACAGCCTAGAGTGAGCACTAGAAGCATTGCTGGCCTAATGGATGGGTTGGGGAAGGGGATAGGGCAGGGGCAGAAGGGGATCCAGGGATCATCATGGCACAGGTACTACACGCATGGTGTTGGTGAAGCCAGAGCCAGGGCGCCATCCAGTCAGCACAATGACCACATCTCCCTTCTTGAAGAAGCCTCGAGCCTTGCCTGAAGAAAAAAGATTGGTGAATAAAAACCAAGCCAAGCAGGTACGAACCTGAGGCAAATGCCCACATCAAGAAGCCCTGCTTGGTGGCACACATAATCCTAACAACTCAGGAAGCTGAGGCAGGAGGATCATGGTTTCAAAGCCAGCCTCGGCAACTTAGAAAGGCCCTAGGTCTCTAAATAAAATATATAAAGGACCAGGGAAGTGGCTCAGTGGTTAAGCACCTCTGGGTTCAATCTCTGGTATTAAAAAAAAAAAAAAGCAACCACCAGCCACTAGTCAAAACTGGCGAACAATTACTCCCTCACACCACAAGGTGGTGCCAACCACACAGGGAAAGGGGAAGAGAGTAACCTCTGGTCAGGTGGCAGAGCTGGCAGGAACCTTTGGACATCATTCAGTTTATACTTTAGAAGGTAGCTGCTTCATCTCATCCCATGACCTCCTAGCTTTTGGGTACAAAGACCACATCAACACATAAATCTTTGTGTGCGCCACTCCACCATGCAGTAGCCCTAGTCAATTTTATATAAAGAAAACCTCAGTAATAAGCAGATGCCAAGTAATAGACAATTAATTTCATCTGGTGCCCCAGAGTGGGAGACTAAAGAAAAGGAGTAAGATGCTTAGCCTCACCCCTCAAAGAGCCCTCTTCCCTTACATTCTCTTTATAGGATGGGAGGATTCTGAAAAAACATTTCCACTGAGTATGAAGAGCAGTCAGCTGGGCTTCTTGTCCCAGAATGGATGGGGTTTGCATGCCTCCGTTTGTATTCCCCAAACCTTCAGCATCTCAGAAAAACCAGAGCTCAATCACTCCTTCCCTTCTAAGCTCCAGCCCTTACTCCCAGCTACGCACCAACATTCATGGCCAAGTTCACTCGGAGGTCCACATCCTCAGCCCAGGCATCCTGGACTGGATCCTTACACACCACAGGGAAGATGCCACGGTACAGGTGGGCCTGGCGAGCTGTCTGGGGATTCCGTGTCACGGCAATGATGGGAGCACGTGGGCGGTATCTGGCTACCTGGTGAGCAGACCTGAAATGCAATGGGAACAGGAAGAGACCATTAAACAGTGTCCCAGAAGCCTCCCAGGAAGCACAACATGGCCTTCAGTAGCTCACTCTAATCCAACTCAATTCGCCAGCCTGAAAGAGCTTTTCCCGGGGCCTCCCTTGGAAAGTAGGGAACTGCCTCCCAAGGCTGGGGAGCTCCTAATCTTGAATCTTCCCCTCCAGAAGGCTATGCTGCTATTTGCCCTCCATTCCATCCCCTCCCATTGGCTGATCATCCCGATGTGGGATTCTCAGTCTTACCCAGTTACCCCACATGGCCCATTGGTTGCCAGAACCTCTAAATTCTACCATTTGGCACAGAAAGGCAGCCCTGGCCCAACCTCATCAGCACCCATTGCTCTTCCTGCCAGCCAACAGCTACAAGCCAAGCAGCATGTGAAAAGCACCCGATTCTTAAAAGGGGCAAAGAACTGCAGCACAGGGCTGGGATCATGGCTTGGCTTGCCTATCACGTGTGAGGCCCTGGGTTTGATCCTCAGCACCGATAAAAATATATAAATAAAAGATATTGTGTCCAACTAAAATATTAAAAAACACCCTGCAGCAGAGTGACCAGCCCTCGGGGAATCAACAACATGACACTTCTCAACTGTTATATCCCCTTCCCTACCCCACATGGTTCCCAGGTCCCCCAAGTAGTGCCAGCAACTGGACTTTAGAGCCTCAAGTTCAAACCCGAATATCAAAAGAAACCTTAGAAGTTCTATGATATAATATAGAACCCAGGTGAGCAGGCAGAACTCTGGGTGCTACACAAAAGGCAAAAACAGAATGGTGGTGTGGAAGCATGTCCAGGAACCTCTGAAATTCCCCTGCCAACTGCTTCCTTGAACACTGACACTATACATAAGATGCAGATGTGTTTCAGAAATTGGGGAGCGCCTTGCAGAAGGAACTGGGCCCTAGAAGGCAAGCTCTGAGGACACACAACAGGTGTCAGGGAAATCTAAGATGATCATAGCAGAACACTGCTTCAAGTTTGGCCTCCATACACATCCTTCAGGGAGAAATAGCTCTTGAAGTCCAGTCCAGCTGAGTGAAATCCCAGAAGACTAGAGCTAAAAATAGCCAAATAGCAAGGGTTGGCCCTTTCCACAAAGGTCAGTCCTAATGGTTGTTTAGGCAAGAGCGTGGAGCCTCTGCTGAGGGAATCCACACAGACCCTGTCCCTGTATCCTGATGCTTTGGGAAGCCCACTTGCCACTCCTCAGTGCATGGGCACTGCCTGTCTCTCCTCTTTACCCTGACCTCCAGGAAACACTTCCCATCCTGCTGTCGAGGTCAAGGAGCACACTCCCCAGACTAGAAGATTGAGAGACAGTAAGACAATGTCCCAGGCTAGGAAGGAACCTCAAATCCAAGGCCAACCACAGGCCTGTATACCTTAGTTACAAAGAATACCAGCAAAATGGCATAGCAACCTTTCCTAGACAGGACAGACTCATCTTTGGGGTGCAAATAGGAACCAGTGTACCAAATAGGGGCATAGTGAACAGCATTAATTTCCAAATGATTTTTTAAAAAGTACACAGTAAATACTACAAACAAAACTGGCTGTCTTATGCTATTATTTTTTAATTTTTTTTTTAGTTATATTGGACACAATATCTTTATATGTGGTGGTGAAGATAGAACCCAGGGCCCCGCACATGGTAGGCGAGCGCTCTACCACTGAACCACAACCCCAGCCCCTATCTTATGCTATTTTAAAGGAAGAATACTGGAGATTAAACTCAGGGGCCCTTTACCACTGAACTACACCCACACATTGTTTTAATTCTAAAACAGGATCTTGCTAAGTTCTTTATGGCTTCACTAAATTGCTGAGATTATTGGTGTGCACCATTTAAAAGCTAGAAGACCAGCTTTTAAATATCAAATAACCATTTGCAGTTGGTACTTAGAGCCTATCCATCATTATACAATTTTTAATAGTTCACTGTGAATCATTTGCTTTGAATCCAAATGATAAACACATTTGTTGAATGCTGCCTATACTATAGTCCTCCAGGCGCGAGGAAGGAACTCTGCCCATGCTGGGATCCTGGACTGAAGGAGCTGGGAAGGTGGCAGCTAGACAGTCCTTACCTTGACTCAGCATCATCTGAGTAATGTTCAATGCATGACTCCCAGGACCCCCAAGGAGAGGTGCCACCAGACCAGGGTGTCCTCAGGGAGCCACTGCCACCTCCTACCTGCCAGACTTGGTGAGCACGATAATGGCCCCACTGCAGCACTTGAAGGATGCCTCCACAGCACCCACGGCGGCGGCTTCTGTGGGGTCGCTGGTAATGGGCGCCAGGCGGCGGAGCTCCTCAAATAATTGCAAGTGGTAGATGGCAGCCTCTGCCTCACGGGCAATCTAGGGGAGCAATATCCGTCCAGAGGGACAAGAGGGGGACAGAGCTTTGTCACAAAGGGAAAGGGTGGGGAAAAAGTTACAGACAGCTGGCAAGGAACATATCCCTGGGCACAAAGGCCAACAGGAGCATAGTCACTGGAGGTTTGGAGATGAGCAAGAGCAAAACTCCACAGGAAGCAGTCCTTCACCAGGTGCCTGTGACTTCTACCATGCCTATTGAAACAAAGGACCCTTTGATCCTGCCTTGTCATGACCTCCCTGGCTGCCTTCCTGCAGATGAGAAGAGGCTGTGTGCCAGGGCCAAGTGCAGGGCTGGCTGGAGCAAGCAAGAAGTTGGTTATCCTACAGTGGTACCTGCCCTTGGGGCCCTACCTGCCAGACTCCGTCAGAACTATCAAAGCTGCTGCTAAACACTTATAAGAAGCCTCCACGCTGCCCATGGCCATGGCCTCCATAGGGTCTGTGGAGAGACAGGAGGCTCGTGCAAGTTCTTCAAACAGCTTGCTGTGGTACATGGCTGCCTCAGCCTCCCGAGCTATCTGTAAGGTTTAGGAGAAGGAAGGGCAAGGAAAAGGGATAAAGAAGGAAAAAAAAACAAACCAAACAAGAGACAACACATGGAAAGATAGAATGGGGAATTAATAAGAGAGTAAGGTAAGAACGACGTAAGATTTAACCTTAGGTTAAATCTGTTGTTCAGGCAGACACAGAGGCAGAATGGTAGAAGTCCACCTGCTCTAGGAGGTATGGAGAATTTTGTGCTTCAACTGATGTTTCTTCCCCTCTGATATAGGGGAAACTGGGACTTCCATCGTAGAAGGATTTTTTTTGGTTAGAGCCATAGCAATATGGTGGGTAGGCTCTAGCAGCTGGACATAAAGACATGCCTAGACTGAACCCACACTACTCCCTGGCAGAGGACTTGACCACGCTGCCTCATGACACAGCTTATAGCAAGAAACAGGGCCTCCTTCCTCACATGGCTGTCTGGACGAGGTAGGGTTGCCTCATGGATAAAGTGTATTTTCCAAGGCCTGCCATGGAAACAGACTGAACAGCGCTGCAAAGCTGGGGTCAACATAAAGCCAGAGCTACACAACTGAATTCTCAAATTAGGAGAAGGGAAACTGGCTAACTTGCGAGGGGCACGTTGCACAGCCATGTGAAGATATGGAGGCCTGTGGAAGCATGCAGACATGTTTAACAAGACATATGATTAAAATCTAATGATTAAAATGGTCATGAGAAAGCCAGTAAGTTATTTATAGACTGCCTGCTCAGATAAAGACTAAGAAAGAAAATTTAAGCTTTAGAGGATTATAATGCCATTACCAATACCTTAGTGAACAGTAGATAAGACTAATACCATCTTATTAATTCAGTAGTATAAGCAGATGCGTGCCAGGGTATACCAGGTTAAAAGTATTCTTTTTATAAGAATGGAGTGCATGCAGCCCAAAGGATAGTGGACATGAACAGGAAATAGGACCATACCTGGTACTGCCTAGCTCTTAACTATGGGTCATGAATTGCATCGGTTAGACATAGGAGAAAGCCATGAATTGTTAAGGGAGGCTGTGGCGGCCAGTGTTAACTGATGATAGAAAGGAGAGGCCTGTACCACCTGGAGGAGCAGCTACTACCTGGCCCAGACCTCATAACTTATCTTCTGAACAGTGCCATGCAATCCAAGCCTTGAAGCTCTAAGATGTCTGTCCATTCACAGAAAGACCAGGGTATGGAAGAAATGACATGGAATTCAGAACCCAGACCTCACTACAGTCCCCATATAAAGACCTCTCCTCAGTACAATGATGCAGGAGACAAGACTGGTTTTGAAGTCAGCAGACCTGTGCTCAAACCCAGGCTTTATATTCATGTAACCTGCAACTACAAACTGAAGTAATGGGAGATATGAAGATTATGTGGACACAGGATTTGATATATTTAATAATAATGGCAGGGAATATTTAATGTTAAGATTATAATTAATTATTTCAGCTAATCCATTTTAGGACAAGGTCTTGAGATATTAATTGACTTGTCCAAAGATATAACAGTACTCACAATCTGGTTTCAAAGTTCTATAAATCAAGTCAAGGTCAGCCTCCAACCCCTGAGGCCAAAAAGTCACATAACTAAGCAAGACATAGAGGGGGGACATGTAGAGATGCAGAAAGGTGGCTGCTCCAGAGGTGATAGGCTGAGAGGCACTTTCATCTTGGGTAGGAACTCAGTTCACTACCAGAAGGCTACTTAAGCCCAGTAACAGGATATATATAAAGTAAAAGAGATACTTAGTACAGAGTTGGTTTGTTTTTTCAGTTATTTGGGGACCTGACAAAAAGGGGATCACACAAAGGGCTAAAGGGCAAGCTTCTTTTGTTGACTAGAAAGGGAACAGATACAGGGAAATTTCACTGAGGTGTATGTTATAGAGACTGACCTAGAACTACCAGGAAAAAGTTAATTCATAACACTTATATTATCAGGCACAAGCAGCCGTAAAAACTAATCCCTAAGTTAATTCTTTGGAAAGTTCCAGGGAGGGATCAAGCAGGACAAAGGAACTGGAACTCTTATCTCTGAAAAGCAGAGCAGCAGAAGGACACAACCAAGCTGGAAATCTCTAAGAACTCCTTCTCAGGGAGAAAGAACACCCATATCTCCCCAGAAGTTCTCAGTCCAAAGCCCGCAAGGCTCAGTGCCTTTCCACTAGTCACTTGATGTCACTTTTTGGTCTGCACATCAAAGTAGATTCCATGCTGAAGGCACCATGCAAGGCCAGCTCAGGCAGCTCATGTGGGCAACACCCACCAGTGCAGGCCCACAGGTGGGGAATCAAATCAGAAGGCAAACAGTAAGCACAGCTGGGAGCATGGCCTTTTTCAGAATAGGGCAGAGGCACTCAGGCCCTCTGGACTGTCCAGAGTTTAAAAGTACTATATCAGTACCCCAGGACTTAAATCAAGGAAAGGAGCCACAGAAACACTGTGTGATGTCTGATGGAGGATGCCTCCAGAAATAGGAGAGGGTGTGTGAAGGGAAGACAAAACAAACCAACAAACCAGGAGGCACCCTGCACCCCCACTCCTTTACTCTTGTTGCAGTGACTGAGGACCATGAAAGACCCTGGTTAAGAGGATACAGAAGCCTAAAAAGCTCTGTGCTAGAGCTTGCCTCCATACCAGCTGGAAGCCTAGGGCACAGGGTGGGCCCTAATTACTCACCAGGTGCTGCATGCGAACAGCCTCCAGAGGGTAGTCCCCTTTGGCTGTTTCTCCAGACAGCATGATGCAGTCGGCTCCATCAAGGACTGCATTGGCCACATCACTGCCCTCCGCCCGGGTGGGGCGGGGCTTCTTGATCATGCTCTCCAGCATCTGGAAAAGGACAAAGCATTGATAAGACTTGGCCTGTGCTCTCTTCAGAGACAAATGACTATAAGCTGATCCTTGGGACATAGTGTGTAGGTTCATAGAGCACAACTTGTGTAAGCGCACCAGGGGGTGGGGGTATGAGTGTGTATGTTAAGTGCCACAGGGTCCATACATAGGAAGAGACCAGCTAGGCTCTACAACTTTCCCATAGAAGCATGTGAAAATGAACAGGAGAACACAGGAGGGGGGACCATGCCTGTGTAGCACAGATGACAGGCTTCCCAGCTCGGTTGCACCGCCCAATCATCATCTTCTGAGCAAGGAAGACCTTCTCTGCAGGAATCTCAATGCCTAGATCACCACGAGCCACCATGATCCCATCGCTGGCCTCCAGGATCTCATCAAATCTGATGAGAAAATGGGGAAGAGATAAAGAGAGCAAGGGCCACAAGTACAACTACTGACCAGAAGATGTCAGAGATTCTCTGACATAGATATCCATATATAATGTCACCATAGATGTGTAGAAGAGATAAAACTTTCCAGCAATCTCAGCCACACAGGATGGGCCAACAATTCTGCTAGGCTTCTTCAACTCCAATATGGATACTTCACTGAGGGGAAACAGGGGGAAGGGACAAGGTCTCTTCGGAAGTCCCATGGGCTCCTTTTCCCTCTCTGTCTGCCTCCTATAAGGAGCCCCTTTGATTATCTCCCTACAATCTCCACTGTCCAATCACCACTTCCAAGGAAGAAAGTAAATCCAAGGCCTGCTGATTGCTTCTGACACAAAAACGCACAACCTCATTTAGCCAAGAACATTTGAAGGCTGAACATTTTATGGTGGTTCCTTCCCATGTGGTTTTGCCTGATGTGGTTTGAGCCAAAGTCAATTAGCAACCATGGCTTAATAGAATGGCAAAGAGGAGAATTTCAAATTGCCTAAACAAAGGTTAAGGGCAGTAAGATCATAACAGTGGGCTTAGAGGTTGCTCTTCTCACCCTCCCAAGACACTCCTAACCACACAAGTAAGTCTGGGTTTTTAGCAGTGTCACTAAAAACTGATTGTACTCATTTGACTCTACTTTGTGAGCACTGGGAAAATGGTTAAGCTCAGGTGGAACAATCTGAACCTGGAGAGGACCCATGTTTCCCTAATGGAAGCTGAACAAACCATACCAGAATTAGATTGATCACCAGGCCAGCTGTTTTCTAGATGAAGTCCAAAAGGCCCTAAGCTTCCAAATGTCAAAAAGGAGGCCCTTTCTAAGTATCTGCTATTTCCCTATTCTAGCCAACACTGCTCCTGCTCAGGAGTAGAGCATGAGGGCCCTGGACCTGGTGACCTAGTCCACAGTCCACTCCACTGCTTGTCCCCAGGCCCATGGAACAATGCCAAGCTTCCAGCATCCCATTCACCTGAAAAACCATGAGAAACTTAAAAACACCAATTATTCTGCTCTCCCAAGATACTCTGATTCAATGAGTCTAGATCAATCTTGGGAGGCCACATTCTGATAGGCAAGTGTAGTCACAGGATAAATCTTGCCCTTCAGAATGCTGAAATGGAACTGAAGTGGGGAAGATTGGGGACTTACCTTCGAACTCCTTCGTGATTCTCAATTTTGCTGATAATCTTGATGTTCTTTCCTTTCTCTCCCAGGATCTTCCTAACTTCATGGACATCAGATGCTTTGCGGATGAAAGATGCAAACACCATGTCTACATCCTGCTCAACCCCAAACTTCAGATCCTGGATGTCCTTTTCTGACACTGCAGGCAGGTCCACAGCAGCCCCAGGAAGGTTCACACCCTTCTTGCTGCCCAAGGAGCCACCATTTTCCACCTCTGTCACCAGAAAGTCAGCACCTATGCAAAACAGAGTAGGGAGGGGAGGGAGAGCAATGAGGGAACATCTCAACTGGAAGACAAGTAGCAGACAGCAAGCCCTTTCTCTCCATTCAGAGGCACACAGTAGGCACTAGAACCATAACCAGAATTCAAATCCCAGGTCCACTAACTGTGTGACCTTGAGCCAGTCTATGTGCCTTAGTTTCCTCACCTCTAAGTAAGGATAATAATACCTACTCATAAAATTGTTTTAAAATTACTCAAATATATGACCAAATATAATGTTTACTTAAGGAGCTGGGATTGTAGCTCAGTGGTAGAGCACTTGCCTTGCAAGTGTGAGGCCCTGTATTTGACCCCCAGCACAACATAAAAATAAACAAATAAATATAAAGATATTGTGTCCATCTACAACTAAAAAAAAAAAAAAAAAATTTACTTAAATTTTAGCTATGATTCCTAGGCACAAACAGTCCTATTTACATCATATTGATGGATGGAATATAGAAGGAAGCAAGCAAGCAGACAGTCAAGAAGCATAAAGGATAAATAAAGAGGAAATCTTCTCATATGTTGCAGGTTTGCATTTAGGCTGGGCTGGTGGTTTTTGAGGATAAATGGGTTATGAAAGGCATTTCTAAGAATGTATTGATTCAGTCTTGCTTCCCGACTTCCTTATATCAAGAAACTTTAGAAATGGGATGTTTTTAGAACCTGACCCCCACACATACCTTTTTCCTTCACCAGCAGAGAAATAAGTCCATCATCCACATAAATCTTGCTACCCACTTCCACCACTTTGCAAATGTTCTTGTAGTCCAGCCATAGGATGTTCTCATCACATTTCTCCATGTAGGAGTTATCCAGAGTGATCTTAAGAGTGGCTCCCTTCTTCAGCTCCACCTCTGCAGTGCCGCTCTATGTACATGTAACAAGAGGGAATGTAAGAATCCAGACTGCAGAAGCTAGCAACCCACCATCTGACAGGAATGGAAAAGTTCTTTCCCCCAGGGAACAATGTTCAAATCTCAGATGAAAGTAATAAGAAAACTTTTATCTTCTTGAATAAATGCTCTTATTCCCTAACTTCATAGATTTCAAGGGAATAATCCAGAGAAAGAATGATGTCATACTACTCAATGATGGGGGGAAGAAAGATATGAAAAAATTGCTCCTCAAAGTGAGAGACACTTGGGAGTGGCTTTTAGAGTAAAAACCTGCTCCTCTGTAGTACCATTTTCAAGCAAACTAGATCAAAAAAATTTTTTAAAACAATGAAGAAAACAAGACCTTCATTTGCACACCAAAACAAGGCATCCAGGCAAGACAGACTATCAAAGAGGCATTTCTGGGGCTACCTTCTTTCTCCAAGATACTTACGCCCTTGATGAGCCCAGTTCGGATCTCAGGTCCTTTAGTGTCCAGAGCCACAGCAACTGGCCGATAGAGAATGGGGTCAGAAGCAAAGCTTTCTGTGGCTGCACGGACATTCTTGATGGTCTCTGCATGGTACTAAGAGAAAGGGGGAAGATAAGTGTCCTCTCACACCTGGATCCAACTCATTCCTTGCCCCAGAGCTGAAGCTGATCACTTAGAAAAGCCTGTGGAAGTTCCAGACCTCTACCACCATCCTCTATTCTCACTGTCCATATACTGGGCATCCTCTATACACTCCCTTTAATGTCCTCAGCCTTAAACCAGTCTTGGGAATGTTCAGAATACTACAACCAAAAACCACTAAAGAGGCCAGGTACACTGGCACATGCCTGTAACCCCAGCTTGGGAGGCGGAGGAAGGAGGATTAAGAGTTCAAAGCCAGCCTTAGCAATTCAGCATGGTGCTAAGCAACTCGGTGAGACTCTGACTCTAATAAAATAGAAAATAGGGTTAGGGATGTGGCTTATTGTCAAGTGAAACTGAGTTCAATCCTGGTACCCAAAAACAAAAACAAAACCCCACTAAAGCCAAGGGTTTGAACAAATCTCATCTGTGTCTCTTCAATGTTCTCTTGTCCCTAGGACTCACTGAGAACCCTAAGCAAATAAAGCAGAAAACTGGAGCAAAAGACCCAAGACTTGTGTTTGGACAAGATTTCCCTAGCTATTAGGATCAGGTTATGTGCTTTTTCTCTACTGATCCCAACTACAATTCAAACTGAAAGTTGTTGACTTAAGCTCAAAGTGGTCCAAGCTAAATAATTCATTACTAAGGTCACATGGACCTGGTTACATAATCACATTCTAGAGTTCTAATTAGAGAGGAATAGGAAAAGGTGGTCAGATGCTTTTTTCTGAAGGAATTCCCCCCTTCACTTGCAATAAATCCTGGTTTGAATCTTCCCTTAAAGCCCTTTCCCTTTGCCACTACTGTTAGATTTAAAAAAAAAAAAGACTTGATCAACATAAGACGCCAAAAGAGCTCTTAGATACTATAATCCTTGTGACACATTACTGATAACAGGGGTACTTAATTGAGCACTTTATGGGCCTTGTCCTTTAAACAACTTTGTCCATGAGGGCAGCAACTGCAAGCAGGCTTGCTTACTATTTGCAGGTGGTTGGTGCAGAGCTGGAGCCATAATCTAATCTCTAAAGACTGTGCTGCCTAAAGGCTATGTCTGAAATTCTCAGATTGGAACTCACACTCTAAATGACCCACTGGTTTGTTTTGTAGAAGTCCTCAAAGTTACTGAGCTTCATCCCCAGCCCTTTTTCTTATTATTTTTAGACAGAATCTCATTAACTTGCTTAGGGCCTCACTAAATTGCTGAGGCTATCCTTGAATTTGCATTCTCCTGCCTCAGACTCTGAGGCTGCTGAGATTACAGGAATGCGCCATGCACCCTGGTGTCAAATGCCTTTTCCTCAGAGTTGATTTGATATGAGTTAAAGAACATATGAAGTATCCAGAATGGAGTCAAGTATATGGTCATTATTTAATAAATGTTACATATTATCATCATAATCTTATAGTGACCATTCTTACTTAATCCCATTGTAGAACTCTACCACTCCTAAAATAAAATGTTCTTGATCATGGGTCATAAAATTCCTTTAACACACTATGGGATTTGAATTGCTAAACAGTATATTATAATAATGACTAGATTATTATGCTTTCTGTCCATCTTTCTAAGTAAGATTGATTGGTCTAGAGTACTAACCATTAGTACTAACCTGGTTAGTCTGGTTTTGATACTTTCCCTGTCTGTCCCTGTCAGTGTATTGGTTTTAAAAGAACATGGGGGAGATTTCTGTGCTTCTGTAATCTCTGGAACAGTGTAATGGAGAATTAAACTGTCCCTTGAAGGATACAAAATTTAGCTATTAAAGTCATTTTGCTTTGAGTTGAGGTGGAACTTACTGGTAGAGCACTTGCCTAGCATGTACAAAGCATTAGGTTTGCTCTGCATCATTTGTCTCTTTAACATTTTTAAGGAAGCTAGATGTCATACTCACTTTTCCAACTTTTTAAGGTGATTGGGTTTACTCATATTCTCTACCTTTTGAATAAATATATTTTCTTGGAAAACAGTCAATTTCACCTGTATTTATATAATAAGTCTTTCTTGACCTTAAAAATCTCTTCTAATGTATATGAACTACTTCCTTTTTTTGTGCTGGGGATTGACATAGGGTCTCACATATGCCAGGAAAGCACTCTCCACTGAGCCACATTCCCAGCCCAGCATCTTCATATTTTTGATCAGACTTTCCAGAAGTTTCCATTTATCTATTTCCCGGACACAGCATCAACTTTTAATCTGACAAATTTCTTTCGTATTAAGCTATGCCTTTATATAAGATCAATTCCTTCTTGTTGCCCTTTTAGGTTATTTTTCAAGTGTTTTGAGATGAAATATTTCATCTACCTTGAGATTTCTGCTTCCTAGAATAAGTGCATTTAGAAGTTTTCTTAATTATACTTTAGATTTTGTTCTCAACTTTCATTAAAGAATTATGTCAGACAATGTTTCTGTATACTTTCTATTTTATACAACTTGAAGGTTTTATAAAACTTTTAACTTTTTTCAGTGGTATACTACATTTTTGTAACTGAGTCTTTTAAATAAATATGCATTTATTTTAAAGACAAATATGTCTGGGGGAGGTAAAACAGTATATTATAATAATGATTAGATTATTAGGTATTATTTAAATCACCTATGTGGGTTATCTTTGGTATGTTTCTGGGAGATGTGTTGTGTCACCCACTGTGGGTGGCTGTGGTTTGGCTGGCATGTTATCAAATGGTTAAGAGCCAGCCATCAGTGCTGTCCTTGTAGAAGGCTCAGAAGGCTCTAAATTTAGGTTGTTTAAAAGTCAGTATTTTCTAGCCAACATGGCATTATGGAAGCGCATGTTCAGCAAGTACACATCTTGCCCATGTGAACTGCCAAAAGTGGGGGCTAGAGACACTGCCAAAGCTGTCAAAAGACCAGAAGTACACACATGATGTCCCTCTATCAGAAAGCAAGAGAGAAAGCAATTTCAAAGTTCTCAGAAGAGTACTTAAACTTGTCAAAGACCAGAAAAGTACATCCCAGTTTCTAGTTGAAGGTGGGCATGAAGTAAGAGTCCTAAAATGCAGCCAAATTAAAACTGTTTACATGTCACTACATAATACTAGGACAGTTTCAGATCTGTTTCCAAAACCCACATCTCAGGGAAAACTTCATCTCATGTAAAGCCTAAAATTAAACTTATAAGAGGGACTTAAAAAAAAAAATTCTAATCTTGGAACCAGAGTTCAAGTATGGATAATTTCCAAACACCTCTCCTAAGCCAGCCCCTGTCCTGCAGATGAAGCAAATACCACTAGCCCTTGCCATTTCAGATCTGGGCGGTGTTATTTTACTGGATGGAAGGAGTCATAAAGCCTCATCAAAGGTCAACTCTCAAAATCTATTTCTGTTCCCTCTTCTGCATGGGGAGACAGTGACAGACTCCAGCAGGGGAGATCAATGGTGAGCAGATCTTCATTGTTGTATTTTTTGGGTACTGAGGATAGAATCCAGGGGCACTTCACCATTGAGCCATATCCCCGGGTCTTTTTACCTTTAATTTTTGAGTCTCACCAAGTTTCTTAGGACCTTGTTAATTTGCTGAGGCTAACTGAAATCACTATCCTGTTGCCCCAGCCTCCAGAGTCACTGAGATTTTAGGTGTGTGCCACCATGCCCAGCCACTTTTGCATTATCTAGCTTTAAGCTAAGGTATCATTTATAGTTAATTCCTGATGATTTGCTGAAAAGTCCCCGCCTGAACAATTACAGAATGTCAACAAAGTTATGCTTAACCTGCCTAGGTGTCTGCTGGACCAGGTCTAGCTCCCATGACATTTGAGGGTCAGCCTCCGCCAGGCCATAGGCTGTTTATGGAACATGGTTTGGGAGTCTATGAAGAAGAGTCTCATGTTCCCAGAAAGGAGGAATTCACTTCTTGGATTGCTGTTTGTGAGGACTTATTTTTAGTCCAAACTTAATACCAACTTCCAAAGGCCAGAGGGCAACCCCCTTACCACTTGACCACACAGGGTAGCATTTTCTTTACTCTAAATAGAAGTATAGAAGTGAAGACAGGGTAAAGCTTCCTTTTTTCATGACTGGTCCATCAAGGACAGGTTGAGATCCCATGGACTGTGGGAAATCCATGTCAAGTCTAAAGGTTTTAAAAAGGCACAATCTCTCAGGGAGCAGCCCATCTCACTGCACCATTCCTACTCCCCACTGCTCAGAATGAGTTTCTTCCAAACTTGGGAACAGAGCCTTCCCAACAGCTGCCACCTGGTCCTAGTTTAAGTAAAGCCCCATTCCCACCAGGCTCCTGAGGAGTGCTGACTGGTTATTTTAATACACCAGGACCCTTGGCAAGGGGTAGCTGTGAAAACAATGCTGAGAGTGTAGACTATCGCATGCCAGATAGTGTTAGTGCTTGAGAGTTGGTTCCTAACTTGCAACAGTGGACATAGTGCTGTGGCCAAGACACCATAGCTCACCACAGGAGAGGAGTTTCTAGGAGTGCCCTTCCATGCCTTCCTTTGTGAGTGCTACTGGTAGCCTAGGTACATGGGAGAATTACGGCCAGTGACAAATCAGGTTTTGTCTGCTTACGGAGACTTGGCCAGTAGAGATGGGAAGGAGAAGGAGAAGAATAGGGACCGGCCAGTAAAGACAATGTCTCATTCACAGTGAAACTCAAGACTCATACATGCCTGATCTACTGTGGCTAAACAAATGTGAAGTTCCCTCTCTGCTTCTTACAAGCTGTCCGCAGAACCTCACTATCCACCCGAGCCTCACCTCGTGAGTTCCGTGAGAAAAGTTTAGACGAGCGACGTTCATGCCAGACTTAATCATCTCCTTCAACATTTCCACTGATCGGGAAGCTGGGCCTATCAAAAAAAAAAAAAAAAAGAGCCATAATAGGAAAAAGGATGTACAAGTAGGAAAACAATAAATTTGCTTAAGTTCTTAAAATGTCTTGACATCTTAATTTTTTTTTCTCTAAATGGTTCCTCCCCTAGACAGCACGAAAGTCTTTCAAAAGTGCATAAAAGACTACTACTATGCTAGCTACTTTCTTGATTTTGGAGTACACTCCTCCCATTTCCTTCAAATTCTGTAGGCCCCTAACTAAAAAGGAAAGCCTAAGGAAGATTTGGCCAGCCCTCTTTGCCCTCCCTGAAGCTCATCCAGACTTCCAACCATAGTACCTTGGTGGCACCGAGCATGTCAAAATGATATTTTCTAGGTCTCTGAGATGTTCTTATAAAGATCTGCTGAGAAAGAACACCCTTGGGCTGGAATTATAGCTGAATGGTAGAGTGCTTGCCTAGCATGAGGCAATGGGTGTGATCCTCAGCACCACATAAAAATAAAGGCATTGAGTAAAAAAAGAAAAAAAAGAAAGGACATCCTCTAAATTTTGCCTATAGCAGAAAATACAGGATACTTTACTGCAACTTCTTTTGACCTCAGTTCCCATAAGAATCTTTGTAGCAGGCTAGGGTTGTAGCTCAGTGTTTGAGCCCATCCTGAGCATTTGAGAGGCACTGGTTCAATTCTTTAGTACTACATATAAAAAAATAAAAATAAAGGCCTATCGACAACTAAAAAATTTTTTAAAAGAAATCTATGTAGCATCTCACTGAGCACCTATGTGCTACAACATTTGTTTAGTCTTTTCAGGAGAGAACTAGCCACTGTCACATGAAGTCTGTGTTTGAGGGAGGGACACACCCACATACCAATGGTACAAATGATGCCAGTGTTCCTAGCAGTGATGGGTGGAGAGTCAATGTCCAGGCGGCACATGTGCTCCAGAAACGTGTCAGCCATGGCTGCGTGCAGCTGCTGGGTCTGAATGAAGGCAGTCCCGGCTTCACTATGGGGCTTCGACATGGCTGCTGAGGCTTCTTCTGAGGTCCTGGGTCCGAGGTAATTGGAGAGAGAGCAATTAGATTGAGAAGTGGTTCATATGCCACTTGGCACAGGAGGATATCTCCTGCTTACACATTAACTCAATAAGCATGCTTTGTGCACAAGCCACAGGGAGGCCAGACATGCTCTGTTTATGTGGGCATTTTTCAAACTGGGCAAAGGGTTCCCACAACTGTGAGCAAATGGGAAGAACCTTAATGAACAAATTAAAAACTCCATGTACAAAACTCCATGTACAAACTCCATGTACAAAATCCATGTCCTTCCCAGGGACTCAGAGTAAGCAGGTCTCTTACACTGGGCTAGAATCTACTTTTGATGGCTTTCCCACCAACCCTATAAATAACGCCATTTTACATGCACTGAAGAAACTTTCATAAAAGGAAGTTGTAACCAATCTTCCAGTGATACACACAACTTGTTTGTACCTCATACTTTAGCTCCTTAATAAGTATAGATCTTTGTATGGTAAGTGGTCTCAAAGCTACAAATATCTGCTTTGGTGTGAAGCACCCACATAGCCCCTTTATAGACCTCACCCAAACCCAAGCAATTTCCCTGGTTATGGAAACAACCACTGCCCAGTAAGTCTTACTAGCTGCTTTCACTATTCAGAGTGCCATCTAAGTTTATTCTTCAGCTCCTACAAGGTAATAATAGGAACAAAATGTAGTCCCCATCAACAGGAAGAAAAGTTTAACTAGAAAGAGAACCCTGAATGCAAAATATTTCAACCCAGGATTCTAAAGAAACACACACACACACACACACCCCTAGTTTTGGTCTGAGAAGTTTCATATGTATGCAAAGCAATAAAATTAAAATCAAGGATAGGGCTGGGGCTGTAGCTCAGTGGCGGAGTGCTTGCCTAGCGTATGTGAGGCACTGGGTTCGATCCTCAGCACCACATAAAAATAAACAAAATAAAGTGTTCATCTACAACTAATATTAAAAATAAACAAATAAATAAAACCAAGGATAATCACAATGGTACTGATTCAGTTTTAAAGTCACTACAAACTGGGCAAATAGTGCATTTCTGCGATCCCAGTGGCTCGGGAGGCTGAGAAAAAAGGATTGCAAGTTTGAAGCCAGCCTCAGTAACTTAGCAAGACCCTGTCTGAAAAATAAAAAACGGGCTGAGGATGTAGCTCAGTGGTTAAGTGCCTTTGATAAAGTGGTTAACTTCCTGGTATCAAAAAATAGAGAAAGTCACTACAAATGGGTTAGGGGGCGTAGCTAAGTGGCAGAGCACTTGCCTGGCATATGTGAGGCCCTGGGTTCAATCCCTAGTAATACACACAAGGTAATGTCAAATTTTTACAATTATATTAATAAGATAGCCCCAATAAGGAAATGCCAACTAATTTTTAATGTTCCACCTGCTTTCCTTTCTTTCTAAGTCTGACAAGTGTGCTGCCTCTCAACAACAGGACCATCTGTTCCAGGCAATTAACCAGCCCAGGTCACAATCTCTACAATTGTCCTGACCTTTGCTTTACTTTATTACTGACCTACAACTAAACTCACTGAGCCGGTGAGTTACCCGATTAGAGTCTGAAGAATTCAGGAGAAGCTTCCAGTGTTTGGTTAGCTGATTAGAGTACAGAAATCAAGAGGAGGATTTGGGGCAGCATTTGAAGAACTATCAGGGAAGGATGTGAACCAGAAGCCGGACATCCTTCTCAAAGTCCTCAGAACAAGGGCTACTCTAAAAAGGGGTCTGGCCAAAGGTTAGGAATAAGCCTGTCCTTAGCCCTGCTCCACCTTTCCCCAAATAGCAGGGCCTCAAATCAAGGACCCTTACTCAGGGACAGCATGCATCTAAACCACCTCTGCCATCTCCAAGAAGGCTTGGTAAAGGACCAATGAGCTTTGCGACCAATGGTGACCAGTCATGGGAAAACTGATGGCTACAAGCCTTCAACTATAAAACTGAATTTTTAAAATTTCACCTCCCCCCGCAGTGGTACTGGGGTTTGAACCCAGTGACACTCTACCACTGAGGTACCTCTACACTCCTTTTTTTCCCTTGTACCGGGGATTGAACTCAGGGGCACTCAACACTGAGCCACATCCCCTGCCCTATTTTGTATTTTATTTAGAGACACGGTCTCACCGAGTTGGTAAGCACCTCACCAAAGTCAAGTCTGGCTTTGTCACAGCCTTCCAAGCTGCTGGGTTTACAGGCATGTGCCACTGTGCTACACTCCTTTTTTATTTTGAGGCAGCTTCACTAAATTTCTGAGGTTGATCTCACACTTGGAATCTTTCTGCCTCAGTCTCCCAAGTGGCTGGGATTACAGGTGTTGAGTCACTATGCCCAGCTCAGAACTGAAAACTCTTAAAGGGGAACGAAGATACTAGCTAACTATTCCTGGTGGAAAATATACTGTTGATTTCAATTAGCTTTTCCTACCCCTCTAATATATATACTAGGTACCAAAAAGAAAGTCAGTCCTCTCCTCCAGGACTAATTGGTTTTGTATCTCCTGGCTTCTAGTACTTGGAGGCAGTTCAGTGTGATGACCTTCTGTCTGATTTAAGCCCTTTCTGAAAGTTATACCTCCTCTCCAGCTTCCCCAAGTCTGAGGAACTCCTAAATTACTAACAGGGCCCCTTGATCTACACTCATGGTGGAGGCATGGCTCATAAGCCTTCAGGGCTCCCAGTTGGGCTTCGGAAAATCTGGCTGTTAAGGGAACATCATTGAGTTGGCACATCAGGCCAACCAGAACACAAAGGCCTTTCTGAAGCCTCCACAGAATGTCATTCAGTCCAAAGACTGTACTGTGAAGAACACAAGATCCATTCCATTCTCCTGAAAACCCATCAACTGGCTCTCCTCTAGACCTTTGGTCTTCCTTCAAAGACTAGCTTGGGGCCACTTCATTATCAAGTCATACCTTTGGTTCCCTGGGCTTGGGTTTTCGGTGATATATCCCTCTTTATTTGGCTCAGCACCTTGGCCGCTCCTTGGCCCCACTTGCATACATCGCTCAGAGCTGAATAAGGTTTGCCCTGGAGAACTGTACAAGGATTAAGGTAAAAGCCGAGTGTAATTAAAGCTCTTAGGGGTAAAGGGAAAGTTACCTTAATAATCAGGTGTCTGAGCAGAAGCTACACCTAAAGGTTCAGCTATGATACAGAGAACTACAGAAACATTCTAAGAAATTGTTAATAGAAAATACACAAGTTAAAAGTGAGGTCTTACTGGTTCCTGTTGGGATGCTATACTCCCAACACCCCAAAACCCCCTCACCCTGAAGTCTCTTTAACCTGTGATTTACTAACACCCCACTACTCTATGGAAGAACCTAGTCCCCCACTATGAGAAAGGGCTACCAAGTTAAACATTCATGAAAGGTCTAAAGGACATATACCAAATTTTTCTTTTTTAACAGTATGTTGTCTAGGTGGCAGAACTACAGCAAATTTTTTTCTTTTCCTTATTAATAAAATTTCTAACATTAAATATTTTTATAAAAAAGAATTATACGTATACTTTTTCTTTAAGTAATATATTTACAATCACCTATAAAATTGTTGGAATTAAAAGAAATATGAAGTTCCAGGTATTAACTGTTGCTCTTTCCTTCAGAAATATTCTGCTTAAATGTGGCAGAGGCCTTGGGCCCTAAACCACAGAAGCATTGTAGGCCACTTTCAATGACTTAGGAAGGTCAACCCTGATCCACCGAGAACCTTGAGGCCAAAAAAAAAAGTAATAGAGTCCAAAGGACAATCCCATGCCAAAAGTCTGTTAGTTCCATGCCCAAATCCAGCAAATTTCTTTTCCTCTTTAGTCTACTCTCAAGCACAGAACCTTTGTGACAAGGATGTTCTAGTATAGCAGGGCTGTCTCCAGGACCAGGATAATGCCATTAGCAACTATATATTGGCGTCAAACAGACCCTATTTCATCATCTCAAATTTAAATCTGAAGTCTATAAGCTCTACTGTTTTGCTATTAAGTACAGAAATGAAAATGTGTTTGGAATTTTAGTAGATTTACACACCAGTAGTCAAAAAGAGCATGCTTAGAGCCCTCCTGACTCTCCAAAAAAAAAAAAAAAGCCTCTGCTCCCCAACACAAGCTGCCTATCCCTCCCACTTCTCACCTAGAGTTGTTGGTAAAACATCCTCTAGGATCTCCCCTGGCCCCAGATAGCAGCCCTGGTTTCTTAGGGTGTACCTCTGGGAAATGTTCCTCTTCTGCCTGCCGGCTGCCTGGACAGTGTCTGCCAGGACATGCGGCCCCACCCATGCCAGTCGGATTCACTACTGCATCCTCCTCCTCAGGAGGCACAGACATGCAAAGCCAACCTCCAGTTGAGAATGGAAGCCTGGTGTGTTCCCTGATAGCAGCAAACACCATGCCCAGGTACTGGCAAAGGCTTACTCTTGAGCCTGAGCCCCTGCAGTAGGATCTTCCTCAGAGCCATTTCTCCTCTGTGAGAAATGAGACACCATTCGAGGGCTTAGCCTGGGCTAACAGGTGGTAGCAGGCACAGCACAGCTTAACTCCAGGTGCCCCATTCTACCCTTTCCCATCTCATCTTAGTTGTCTCTTATATTAGTTTCCTTTGTGCCAGACACAATTCTTTGACCATTCCTCAAAAACCAGAGGGTAGAACCATATTAAAAAAATAGCAAATGCTCTGCTTCTTGCAGGCAGCACTATTGTCCAGGTTATGCTGGAAAAGATTCATGCTTCACTCCATCAACTCTACATTTCACAATGATTCAAATCATTCTGCCCTAATAAACTAACTTGGCCTATGAGTCTTCATCTGTTTAAGCCAATTTTCAATCAGCAGGGCTCTCTGTACCAATTATGCTTCAATACCAACCTCATCATACAGACCAACCCAATAATGATGGCACTTCAAGCCCACTTTCTTCCTCAAATATTGCTAGGAGGTCCAAGAGCTCCTTGCTTTGACATCCAAAAGCTCCTCATGTTTTCCATGCCAGCATGAAGGGCTTTTAATTCTCAACTCTTCAGAACTCCAGCATCCATCAGAAAGGTTTGTACCATAATATGCTGGCCTTCAGGTCAGCCTGCTTTCTCAAGATGGAAAAGAGAAGAAGAGTCTCCAAGACTGACTATGGAAACACCAACTGGGTGATGAGCTAGCCACGGGACTCTGGTAAGGTCTGTTCATCCTAAAACACAGCAATGTGTTTGTGTACAGACAATAAAATCTCCTTTAGCGAAGAGATCTCAGTCTGAAGTCTACTCTCTACCTCAAGCAGGGCCTGTAACAGAAGGCAACATCTGAGTGTTACCAGCTAAACAGAAAATGAACCCATTTGAAGGGTCAAGAAAAATTCTCCTGCTGGGGATAGGGGGAGGCAGATGACAATGTTCTTTTATTCTTCAGGGTTAGAATAAGTGACATAAACCTATCAGCAGGAGCCTAAGGAACTATTTCAAACTACAGTGTGGAATAGGGCAAAAAACCCCACAAAAACTGATGTTAAATGAAAGACCACTACCACTCGGTTTTCGTTTTCGGACAGGAAGTCCAGAGTCAGAACACTGGATGCCCTCAAATGCCAAGGATTCCTTGGTTCTATCCTAGATGGCCAGAGCAGAGCATTGAAGGTGGAAATTTTGGGAGAAGCTTTTGCTGTGTTGGTACATGGTGCATTCTTAATAAGCTTAAGCAATGGGTTAGTGCTTCTAGGCATGATTCCCAAACTCTGGAAGCTGCCAGGAACCTGGGACCCTGATTTAGAGACCTCTAAAGCCAGGGTTATGGCCTGAATAAAGTGAGGTTCAGCTTTTAAAGGAGATTCCTTACACCACGTTGGGGTAGGGGACAGGACTTGAGAAAAAGCAGTGACAGCTATCCAAGAGTACTGACCTAGTTAGCACCAGCGTCTCCCCTAAAGAGCTTTTACAGGTTTACTTGTATTATTTTGGATTTTTTTTAATTAGGGAGGGAAAATACAAAACAAAACAACAACAAAAAAACATCCCTAACATGTTTTTCTACCACCCAGAACTGACCATTAACAATGAGTTCTATTTTCCTCAGACTTTCTAAAAATAACAATTTTATACAGTTCATTTTTCTTCCCACTCCAGTTTCCTCTAAGCCTTCCCATTTAACATCCCTAGTCCTTATTGTTAATTTTGGCACCCAAATCACTAACATGAATTCTGTATATTCCTAGTTCATTTAAGTTCATGCAGTTTATCTATACACTGGCCATTTTTAATATCCTAAGTGAGTACTGTGCATATCACTGAATAACTTCTTTCTCACTCGGCACATTTAAGATCCATCCAGTTGGTATAAGAATCCAGCTAGTTCATGTGAACTACCATACCAGTCCATTGCACAAACAGATCATTTATGTATTCCCTTACTGGTAGCTAACCACCTGCCCTGGGCATTAAACCAATTTCCCCTATTAATATTATAACAACATAGTATGCTTCCTATAACAACTCATAGTATGGTGAGCTTCTATATCCCAGAAATGGAATTCTTAGTTATGGAGAATGTTTATTTCTATTTTACTAAACCTAGTAATTGCTCTCCACACTGTCTGTATCATCATCTTTTTTTTTTTTTTTTTGGTTGCTGTTGTAGTGGACAATACCTTTATTTTTGTTTATTTACTTTTATGTGGTGCTAAGGATTGAACCCAAAGCTTTGCATGAGCTAGGCGAGCACTTGGCCACTGAACCACAACCCTAGTCTTTGTATCAACTTTCAACCAACCAGTACTGTGAGTTCCTGCCTTCCCACATGTTTGCTAATACTTGGTATTGTCAGACTTGAAAAATGTTTGCCCAGCTGATAAGTGATATTTGTTAGTCTGCTCTCTAATGTTAATTACCAAAGGGTAGGATAGCAGGATTTAAGTCTCTATTTCCCTACTTCTTAATCAAAACGCCTGGGCTCCTCTCCAAAATGGATACGACAGACTCTGCATTTTATGTGCCATGACTGACACTGCTGAGGCAAATTTTCTTGCACTAATTTCCAGAGTTTAAACATTGTTTAAAGTTTAAGAAATATGAACTGTAAGTCAATTAAAGATGTTTGGAAGGGATGGGATTCCCTTCAGAGAATTTTTTTGCCAGCAGAGTTCCCCTAAGCTGGTCCATACTGTGAAATGCTATAACCAGCAACCTCAGTGCCCTAGTATATAGAGCTGGTGGTAGCATCTCCCCACCAGAGCCCCAGCATGTATTCCAAACACTGCTTGCTGGCACCAGGAAAGAGAGGCTTAGAGCTTCCCAGGAGTTTTGCCTATGGACAAAATGCAGGGGATTCTCAGAGGCCACCAGAGGTACTGCAACCCAGCTCTCCCTCCTACGTGCAGAGCGGCACAAACCACTGCAAGGGCGTGGTCTCATGGCACTGCTTTGCAGCCCTACCAGGGCCCCTATCTCTGAGTAGAGAGGAGGCAGGAAGAGTCAGCAGAGGCTGCACACCACCACCAGCCCAAGCTCACCTTCTCCCCAACAGCTTCTTTAAGAGACCCAAGTAAGGCTGAGGTTGTGGCTCAGTGCTAGAGGGCTTGCCTGGCAAATATGAAGCACTAGGTTCAAGCCTCAGTACCAAATATAAATTAATAAATAAATTAAAAAAAAAAAAGAGACCCAAATAATTAGACCACTCAATTATTCAGTCTAAGCCTGGCTATAGTGTAAAATGTGAGTTCTAGAAACTAATATGGTATTAAGAATGGTCTTGGGCTGGGGATGTGGCTCAGGGGAAGAGTGATCACCCAGCACATGTGAGGCCCTGGGTTAGATCCTCAGCACCACATAAATAAATAACAGTATTGTGTCCAACTAAAAATAAAAAAAAGAATGGTTTTAATACATTCTATCAACTCTATTTTTATCTGTTCCACAATTGATTAAAAATGACAACTCAATGTTCTCTAAGTTTTTAATCAAATAAAACTTATAAACATCTCACAGAAACCCTCAGCAAGGTTACAATAAAACTCTGCTCACAGGACGACTCATTCTTGTGGCACACCAGTTAACTAGGAT